CTACAGAAGACACTGGGGACCATTTATTAGTGTAACCAGGAATCATTATAAAAACAAAAGTCACCACTTCTGGTAAGTCAAAGCAATGCATTTGCCTTCAGATTCTGCTTACTTGTAGAATTTCATCATTTACCCTGGCTCTCAGTTAATTGTGTGAGCAATGACTGGGCAGCAGAGAGAGAAAATGGCCAACTGCCCTTGGAATGCACCTGGATTTCATAGCAATGAACCTGCACATCTCCAACTGCTTTACAAACCATACACATGGGAATCACTTCCTCCACACCACTCCTATGGAGAGGCCTATTTTCCCATCTCTTCATGCTGCACATAAAATTATTTAGCAGACTGTAAACTAAGTTTGTTACATAAAAGCCTGAGCCTCCCCTTGAGAGATTTCCAAATCACTGAGAAGATCCATAGGCTTTATAATCAAAACCCAAGTCAATGAAACCAAAACCCTTGGTTTAGAAGAATTTCATGTTACAATATTTAAATAGAGATTGCCAATTGGAAATTAAACTATGGGGAAAACTCAAAAAGACAAAACAAGCCCTGAAATAACACCAGAAGTGAACTGCCTGATTTCCAGGGAAGGTTTGTAGTCAAGTGGATAAAGCAAAAAGCAGGAAAGGATTTCAGTTGCTGTGATTTAATTTTCCCAAATAAAAATGCAAGTTATCAGTATTAAGGGATGACATCCTTTGTTTCCAAATCAGAGACAGGAAAACTTTACCATATTTTAGGCTGCAGAGACTATGAAATTAAATATTAAAAGTTACTCCTGCTATCCTGGGGAATGAGCAGTCAGACCCTGTGTGAACACACTGCTGAGAAAGTTCAGTGACAAGGTGGGGATCGGTCACAGGTTGGACTCAATGACCTTGCAGGTCTTTTCCAGTCTCAATTCTGTGATTCTCAGCAGTGAGGCCTCTCTGTGATAGCACTGGGGCCTTTGCAGAACTCAGATATTGAACATTCCCTGCCTCCATACCCGCAGGGATCAGGATGCTGCCAGAAAAGGAACTTGAGCAGGGCTCCTGTCTCCATGGATTGCTCACTCTGCAGAGAAAATTGAAGCAGTCAGTGCTTTGTTCCACCATCACATTCTTCCAAAGACACCCTCCCCCCCGTAAAAGCAATGCTTGAGCAAATTTTCTTGCCACTGACTGAAGAGCTGAGTTGATTTTGCCAGTGTATACAGAGCAACATCTGCCTGTGCACAGCTGGCCCACTGAAGCAAAGCTGGGAGCTACTGCCTGCTGCTTAGTGATGAGAATTCCTCAAAAACCTAAGAAATTGCATTTAAGTCACTGACAGAAAATTCAGAAACACTTGGCATGAGCATCCTCCAACCCAAACCAGCACTAGGCATGAGCTTAAAGCCACAAGCACTGTCTTGCAAAGCAACACTCCTGAATTGACAACTTAATGCATAGCAAGGCCTAAACAGTCCCTGAGCAAACTGATCCTGGTCCATGAGTCAGCAGCACTGTCGGATGGTGATTTATAGTGAGCAAACACTTTTTCAAGCCTTGGCTTGGAGAAGGCTGGCAGAGACTTCTTTTTTCTTTAAATGCATTGCCCTACTAGTGCATTGCTACCCTTCCACAGATGTCAGATCTGGGCTGTTATTAAGGCACACAGTGTGTGTCCACTGCATCTACCCCATCACTCTGCCATTTAAAAACTGTGTTCTTCAATCCCATGAAAAGCAAATCAATTCAACCTGCTACAGTTTTGGAATAAAAAAACTACCACATAGGTGAGAGCAATAAAACTAAGTCCATTTTAAACATTAAGAATAACAGAAACCCAAAAATGTGTCCTCAGAGTTACCCTTTACCTGCACTGTGTTCAGAGGATTTAATCTAGCTTTCATGACTTACCAGAAATAAATTTCTGGAAGCATAGTCAAACACAGACTTTATATATTGTTATGTTTCATATATACCAGGAGTACTGAGAACTTTTGACCAGCAGATTTTGTGACAGAACCTTAAGAGAACACGGTCTCCCAAGCTCCATAAACAAGGTGACTGAGAAAGCTTCCCTTAGTGATAGATATATTCAAATAAATCAACATTTAGTATCAAATTGTCTCTCTGACAAGCTCTACAAGAAGTCAGGAAATTATAGTTCCTGTGTCATGAAAACAGGTGATATCTGAGATTCGGGAAGACTTTCAGTGATGTATTCAGAGCACTGATTCACCCCCTTCAATTTCTATGACTGCATAGACAGCTGTGAGTATATTCTTATCCCACAGGCTGTTTTTCATACTGACAGACTGAATCAGCTTATTTTACACAGAGGAAGAGATGCCAGTGTTTTTCCTCATCTATCCTTTCTGAGGCTATTACTTGTCCTAGATTTCCTGTAGGCAGGCACTGTGCATTTTGGGCTGGGGCTGAGCGAATAAACAGCAGCTGGAGAATCTGGACTGGCAGAAGAAACTGTCCAGCAACAATATGACAGCTCAGAGACTGTCTGGAAGATACACCTCAGCCTTTAAATCAGCACGAGATGGGTTATATCCACCTCCAACCAATGTGGAATGTGGCAGCTCATTTAGTGCAAGGAGCACCAGGGAGAGCTGGCAGTGACTGTGCTGGGGCAGCTTCTGCTGAAAGGAAAGAGCTGGGATTCCATACCGTAGAAATTCTGGAATTTCACCCAGCAGGCCAACCTCCACCTTCTGGAGTCTGCCTGCACCATTTATTTATAGCTTCAGGACACACTGGAACCCAAAAGGGATTTGTTACGTCATCTGTCCTAGAAAGTTACTTCCCAGCAATTCAGAATCAGCAAAGGCCATCATGTGATCACTACCAACAGTGACCATTTGGAGTTTTGAATGCTCCAGAGCTTTGGCATTTCACCTTACTGAGTTGAATGTTTTAGATTCTGCCTATATAAGAAAATTTCATTTATTAAACATTCACAAAGTATTTTGCAATCTTCAGAACAAAAGAATTTTAGACTGAATATGCACATCCTCAGCTGTAAATCAGATACTGGATCCTGATAAACACTTCTAAGTTTACAGCACTTTGAACTGAAATCAGCCAGGGAGTGCCTTGTTTGTGAAGGACATAGTTGATTCCACCACCATGGCATCCAAAGACTTAAACCCTCCATATTCCAGGACCAAATTTCAAGTCTATCATAATTGTTAAAAAACATCAGATAAGCCTCTGGTAAGCACCATTTGCACTGGAAAACAATGACAGGAATTTGCTAACACATCGGAGAGGCTGAACTGTGACTATTTCCTAACAATCCCGATGCAGAGAATGAAGGGATAACTCTTTCCAGCCAAGTCACACTGGTCACTGCTGTCTGGTGCTGCCTGGCTGGCACAAAGGGCAGCACTGATCCAGCCTCTCCTTCTCACCCAAAGCATCCCAGCTTTTCTGTTTACACACTCTCATTTTAAGGGATTGGAAGTACCTGCACCGAGCCACCAGGGAAACTTTTCATTCTCATTAAAAACTAGTTTCTAAAAGGTTCCTACTTGGGAATCGAAGCAAATGGCAAGTGATGTATATCAGCCTCTGGCAGAACTAATCCCATCGCTGCAAGATCTGCATTTCCTGGAGCACTCACACAAAAGAATGATACTCACCATCTATTTAACATTTACACCACCATTCCTTCTGTGATGGCACATGAGATTAGCGACAAAACTCTTGAATTCTTTCAGCACAGTTCCTGCTGAATATCCTTGAAGAGCAAACACATAAGGTTGTAACACTTCGTGGAACTTTTCAGAATTTTAAAATTTAGATATTTTAAATTAAAGACTGAAATTAGCAAGCTCTTTAAAATGCCAGTTGTCCTCCTTCTGTTTCTATCAGATCACAACCATGAGACAATTTAAAAAGAATCCTTGTCTGTCCATGCCTTGCTGGGCTCTGCCCCGGCCCCAGTGTGGTTATCTGCTTGTCCCAGCTGCACAGTGGTTTCTGATTGATATGCTAAAGAGAATTGGGATTGTTCAGCCTGGAAAAGAGAAGGGTTCAAGGTGACCTAATTGTGGCCTTCCAGTACCTGAGGGGAGCCGACAAGGAAATTGGAGACTATTCACAAGGGCCTGGAGTGACAGGACAAGGGAGAATGGCTTCACACTGACAGAGAGTAGGGTTAGATTAGGTATTGAGAAGAAATTCTTTCCTGTGAGGGTAGTGGGGCCCTGGCACAGGTTGCTTAGAGGAGCTGTGGCTGCCCCATCCCTGGAAGTGTTCAAGGCCAGGCTGGACAGGGCTTGGAGCAACCTGGGATAGTGGAAGGTGTCCCTGCTCAGGGCAGGGTGTTGGAACAAGATGATCTTTAAGGTCTCCTCCAACCCAAACCATTCTGGCACTACCTGTGCCTCAGGGGTTCTCTCCTCACTGAACAGTCACCTGGATTTCCCAGCTGTGTTCTGGGTTTCACCTCTCTGGATGAGCTGCAGAGAACACTGAGCACAAACAAGTGACCAAACTACAATTACCTGGCCAGGGTGACACACTTAAGGCTGTGCAAAGAATAGGAAGGGCAGTGCTGGAACTGCTGAAAGGCTTTTCCAAAGCTCCACGAGGTTTCTACTGAACGCTCAACAAGCACCAAATTCACAAAATTAAACACTTAGCATGCAACACGTGGACCCAAGCAGTAGAGAGGGTTCTCAGAGCGCGATTCAACAGAGAGCAGCTCTACAGCCCTCCAGACACAGCCCTTCCCAGTGAGCAGCTCTGCCCATGGATTTGGTACTGACTGGGTGCAGCGTTCAGGGCTCTCAGCATCTCTCACCCTCCTTCCTCTCCCCAAGGAAACCTCACTGCACTTTTGTGACCAGAACGGGGCACCAGAACTTCCCCTAAAGCCCTTTTCACCTCCCACAGCCACGCACCCACCGTAACCTCTGTCAAAATCACGTCCCCAAGCCCCACGAGCTTCAGCCACAAAGGAACAAGTTGTCTACAGGAAGATCAAAATAAAAAGGTTAAGGAGAAACATTGAGTTAAAAGTTTTATTCATTCAACATCTCACATTACAAATATTTAAAAATTATATGCATACTGGTATAAATAGTCATTTGCAAACTATTTAATAACATTAATTTTCACTAGCACTTCAACAAATGAACTCTTTAAAAAAAGTAACTTGTGTTATATAACTTAGAGTAGAACATACAAAAATATGAACTTAAACGTGAAAATGACTTTAATAAAAAATGAATTACCCTTATTTAAAATGCTATAATAAATACTACAACCTCCCCATACACAGTAAAAACTATATGGAAATTCAGCCAAGTAGTACAATTAACTGACATACTTAAATAACTTTTCCTTCTGATAATATGAGCAATACATTGGGGGAAAAACATATTAGGGATTAGTAAAAACTAGACACCCACTTGCTAAAAGTTTCACTTCCAAAAAATATAACAAAAAATCTGATGAAAATTATAAAAACTAATTATACTTTAAAATTTAAAAATATAAAAAATAAAACAGTTGAATACAATATTGTCCCAATTCTTACAATGCTATCACAGTAGCTTTAAAATAAGATAATAAAATAAAGCAAATGACCAAAACCTTTTATTCCATTTTTTTTAAAAATAATCTCAAATTTACATTAGTAGAAAGATTGATTTCTGATTCTTTTCTTTAGAAACACCAGCAAGAAAGAGGATTTACTAGAACAGTAGAAAATGACATTTTTAAATGTCTGCAATTAAAAACAAAGAATTACACTGCAAAGATCTTCCAGAAGTCTGAAATAGGTATTGCACATAACTTGAAGTTAACTTGCCACAATTCATCACATTCAAGTTTTAAATCACCTTTGAACAGAAGGTTTTAACTCTTCAAAAACACAAGGGGTGAATTATCAAGTCTTTCCAACAGCATCCTTATAAAACGCTAAATTCAGTCACTGCAAGGTTGAAATTTGCATTCTGCAGAGGTCTGTGTATGGAGAAGTAGAGACTATACCAAAAAGCACGGGGCAGTGGGGTTCCTTTACATATAAAATAATCAGAAACACTTTATTTTACATTGCAAAAATAACCATGTAATTACTCTGTAACTACACTGGAAATGCCTGGGCGGTGCCAGGCCAGGGGGATCCGACTCCACGCTCCCCAACCCCGCTGCTCATCGAAGGGACACCCCACGACTGGTACCTAATTACACGTTAATCACGTCTGGAGCTACATGGTAACCCCAAAACTACAAACCCCACGGAATCAGAAGGACATGTCATCACTATTGAAGCACAGAGTAATGTATATAATTGTTTATGCCCTGTAAATCGAAGTGTAACCAAAGGATCTGTAAACACGCTTGTCACACAATCACAAGTGAATATTAGTAGAATAACAATTTCTTACATTAGTCATGCATACTAACATTACATGCCTGCCACCCAGCAGGCTCTCTTTTATTCTTTAAATATAATTTAAAAGAGCAGACACATTTCTGCATCAAACACCTAACATCGATTCTTTATTAATAATAAAAATGGCTAAACATTCACCAAAAACGTCTGCATTTGTGTATAATTTTTAAAAACTCAGTAAGAAGCGGTAGACAATTTTGATGGTTCTTGACTTTTAAATTTCTACACTATATTTATGCATTTAAATTTCATGGGTCTAAAGACAAGTGTCATTTGTCACTTTCATGCTTTTCTTCTTTAATTCTCAACTTTACATATACTATTTCTTAAATTATATGTACACCAAATACCTGGTGCTGGGCTAAGATGTTTAAGCAACATGCTTTCTTTTCTCTGCAGATTCTAAAATAGCATTGCCAGTGCACAACATCCATAATTCAAAATGTATGCAGAGCACTGAAATGTATAAAAAGCAGAATATAAGAAAATAAAATTTATTAAAATTATTTATATTAAAAAATGAAGTATATGAAGATCTCTCAGTAATAAAAGTACAAAAAGCTACTCTTTGCAATATGAAAAATTGAGGTATTGCATAAAGAGATATCCCGTCAGTGAAAAGTGTGCCTAAAAATGCTCACTGTTGGAAAAACAAGATATACAAAAGTAGTGCATAACAAATATACATTATGTGCATGACAAAATAAGTTAGCTACAAAAACACTGTACCGAAATTCAGCAGGTCATGTACAAAGGGAAAAAATTATTATTCAAAGCTAGTTCTCAAACAGTGTTATTTCTTGTAATGGAAACCCACCTCACCTGTTTGCTGGGTAGGATCGGCACAATAGCACACCCCAAGCCACCTACAAGCATTAAAAAAATTAAAGGAACATTCCAACTATAATTATGTACTTCAGAGAAAAAAAAGTCCCTGACAATCTACACAAGAGCACTCTGCATTTGCATTACTGTTGTCAATATTTTCAGGGATTTCAGTAAAAGCAGCTCCCTTGCTATACTTGACTAGTAGACAGCAAATGTCTCCATTTTGACCTTTGGAACTTGGTAAGGTATAAGTTCATTAAAGCCTGTATTGAAAATAAAAACTGCTTCTCATACAGATAATCGGGGCTGGGGGAAGGGGATGAGGGGGGCCCACCAGGGCTTTTAATGGAGCAGATGTTTTCCAAGCAGTGCTGAGGCAAGTCTTTGGTTTGGGAGACTCTGGGATAGTCCCAGGCCACTCAGAAGATTGCCAATAAATCAGTTTATTTGCACACTGCTACATCATCATTTGAGAAGTTGGCCAGGGAATTAGTTCAAAGGTAATAAAAATAATTTTCAGAACTACTCCTTCATTTGACTATTTCAAACTAACCCCCTGCACAGCTCACATGGACTGGGTCAATGCTTCTCAAGGTAGAACTCAGTTACAATAAAGCCGGCATTAACTTCGCAAGGTTGGCACTTCAAGCACCTCCGTGTCTTTATCTCCCCATAGTTAGTTCTGAACAGGTGGAATCTTAGTCGGGATCCTTCTACAGGAAGAGTAAGAAAGGCATGTGCACACTTGCACCATTCCATGCACAAATTCAGAAAATAGTGCAAAACAAGATTTAAAACTCCTTCAGTTCATGCCGTCTGTTACCGATAAATTTGAGGGGATTTTAAACTGACTTTACATGGGAAACCAATAAACAGCCAATTTGAGTTTGTGTGCCACAATGGAATATCAAAACTTCAGTAAAAATCAGTGATATCCTTGAGGTATCTTTAGGTTTTCTACTTTTTCACGTCAAAATGGAGAGCAAAAGCTGGCCCCTGATGAATGTTAGTATATTAGGATATAGAGTTATATATAGCCATCAAAAATAAAATCTATATATTTATCCTTCAGGAGAGGAAATGCCAGTTCACTAGTTGTCATTACTCTAGCTTTGGTAGAATATCTAGGGTTGTAACCAGACAATTGAGTTCTCTCAAAGAAAAAAAAAGTGCACTCCCCCCTCAGTAGTAACTTTACTCAACTTTTACATTCAGGAATTCTTAAAATGTAATCATTTTGATGAAAATATAGTAAGCTCTGCCTATCTCGTTAGTAATTTGGATGCGGGTGGTAGCCAGAGGCACGGTCAGATACACACCGAGCTAAAATTTCAGCCTCAAAACCCTTAAGAGATTTTAAAAAAAAAAATAAAATCATTATTATAGCGCTGCTTCAACTTTGCTCATGCATTTTTGTTGCTTTAAACATGCTCTTTCCTGTTGGTAGGTAAATGCTAACTTCATCTGTTGCTGGAAAAATCCAAAGTCCAAACAAAAAAGAGAGGCAAAAACAGGCTTCCCTGGGGGAAAAGTGTCAGAACAGACTGATAGTGTTATTGTTACATGGTTATTTAATAAAAGTATTATTATGTTCTTTATTAACAATAATTTAATTAAAAAACCAAAATACTCTATTGTTTCAATTCTCTTTTCTTAATATTTTTCTCTCCTCTAAGAAAACGTTGCAGGAAATTAAGTGTTCTCTCGGTAGAGAGAATGCAACTCACTTGCAACATGTTATCGATACGAAAAGGAGTTCCCAATACAGTTTTCAATGACAAGGTTCTATAAAATACCCATATTATAGGTAATTCTTTCATTATACTATTGTTAAATTACAGACTACTACAAAAGGACATGCTGTGTGAGTAAGAGAAAGGGCAGGGAGGGCTGGGGGCAGTCGGGAGAACAGAAGAGTGCACTTAATTGGAGGCCTGCAAATGAGCACTGCAGTGATCCTTTAGTTCCAGCGGAATGAAATATGTCTCGGGCGATCTCCTCCCTCCTTCACCAGGGGCTTGTGGAACTCCCTGCCAGCGCGTGAATGGATAGCAGCCCAGCAATATTCACAGTAATACTGCAGACAGGTAACGTTAGCACAGAAAAACGGAGCGAACTTCCCACCGCAACGGGCCCCCTGACATTCATCACAAAGCTGATCATCCAAGACATATGGCTTAACTTCCACCTGCGTTCAGAAAAACGAGAAGAAAGTTCACAGTGCTTAATCACAATGTAGATAACGACAATTCCACAGCACCTACTCTCTGTGTTGTAGCAGGATGGCCATCAAGAGTTCTGTAGCAGGGAGTTTACACTCAAGAATTTCCGCCCTGATTACACATGATCACGGCTGTTGAACACCCAAAACTCCAGTCACTTGAGAACAGTTCTGCTCCCAATCCCTATCCTTAAAAAAACCCCAGAAACCAATGCTGACCATCAGCATCACACATGCTGTCACTGATTTATAGAAAGGCCCAATCAACCTATTGCTGATACACAGACTGCCATCAAACCCCTGGAAAATCCTGAGGGGTTATTTTTAAACACGGTGATGCCCAATTAAGATCCTCCCCATTCAGGCAGGAATGGAGACTATACAACACTGTAACTGCAGATTAAATATGCATGTGGTCTGCAAATTGCAATGTCGGAATTCCCAACATTAAAAAAAGTCATTTATTATCTAAATAAATAGCTCATGTCTGTATTTTTTTTTCCACGACTTAGTCCTCTCAGCAGAGGAAATCCACCTGATCTTGTTGGGATACAATGAGAAGCTTAACAGGGAACTGATTCCCGCCTACGCTGTTGGCATTAAGGGCCAGGTGATGGCCTGTAATTCAGTGCAACAGAAACAAATATAGGTACAACTTCCTGCTCTAGAAGTGTTTGTGACCCTTCTCTGAAGCCCATTTAATTAGATGTATTCACAAACATTTTCAAACATCCAGACTTCAACTGGTATCTCTGCTGTTATCTCTGCATCTGCATCTGTTATCTCTGCATCTGCCCCCGGGCTGCTCCTCTCTGCACCTCACAAGCCTCTGAAATACCTCAGTCAAATAAGGACATTCACAAGTTCTTGTGTTTTAAAACTTACCCGATTTTAACACAGTCCAGACTGAAGTAGCTTGATGTCATTTGTGCTTACAGGAAATATCAGCTACTTAGAGACAGCACAGCAGCCTTTTTAATGACCTCAGTTTTCCTCCTCTTCCAGTGCTCAATTTGCATTTCCCAAAACCCCTTTGTGCCAGCTCAGAAGAATGAATTTGTAGAAGAGCAGAGGCAGACAAATATTCTCCATCCCCTAGTCTGCTATGTAGGGCAAGGTTGGGAATGTATTGAGGACTGTTGGCTTCTCCAAGTGCTAAAAGGACGAAGATGCTACACAGGCCTCCTTCACGTGGTGATTCTGCTCTGTTACCTCTGCTCAGCCACCTTCAGAGGCCAAACCACAGCACAGGTGTCCTCAGCACATTTATTTAGAGTGTGATAGGAGCTGTAACTGCTCCCTGAGCTGGTTACAGAGAGATTTCCCAGCTCCAGAGAAAAAGCTTCATCAGGTCCACTTAGGGTGGCAGCACTTGGCAGCAGTGCAGGCCACTGAACACTTCATTTGCATTATCTCTGTGAGGGCACTCCCTTTAGCAGCACCTCCTTGCCTAATTTTACAGGAAATCCCTTATAGTTACTAATTATTTTTTTATATTTTTACAGAAGAATATCATTAGAAAATTCTTAATAAATAGTACCTTATTAATAAAAAGCTGCATTGCCACTGTTGTACTTTTACCTTCCTCATGCACCCAATCCCTCCTACAATGAATCCTCTGAGCACTTATCTCCACACATTTATTCTGAACTACACAAAAAAATGAGGAAATAAGGAGGGTGGGAGGAGAGAAGGAAGGGGAAATGGATTGCAAAATCTTTGCTAGAGTTCACAAGTACTTACTTAAATTTGTAGTCCCACCAGCTTCAATGGACCTATTCACCCAAGTGTCTGCTTATGCAAGCACAAGTTGCACAAGGGCGGCCCAAATTATTTGTTCAAAGCTGTTCAGAACTTATTTCGGAGCCAAGATTAGAACAAAGACATTCCAATTCACAGGCCCACAGTCAAATTGTTGTTACAATTCTTCTACCCAAGCTTTATAGCCAAAGCAGGAGTGAAATGATAATGAGCTAATCAGCCAAGTTTGGAGGGTTTCCGCTGTATTAACTATAAAATTAAGATCAGTAGTGACAGTCATGTAGGAAAAATCCAGGGACAAAGGATGAATTAGACAGAACAGGAGATGTGAGCATCTGAGTTTCTCAAAATTGTGGTTTGAAGATCACTGTAACTGGCACGTACATTTCATAGAGATGAAGAGGGCAGAAGCAAACTGCAGATCCATTTGGCATATTCCTCTAATTTAAAAAAAATAAGGAATAAAATAATAAAGGAATAAAATAACTAAACACAGCCTTTACACAAGCTGTGGGGGATGACTGTGAGGCTGCAATGCACACATACAAGTTTAAAAGGCATTACCATGATGGTCTTGGACACGCAGCACACACCGTGTAACCCTGGGGTGGTTCTGCCCTTCTCCCAAAAGATGCAGAGCAGGAGTAAGAACTGCTCCATCTTTGGCAGATACCTCACTCCCTGCATTACACAAACACTACAAATACTTGCAGTGGGAGCATATGATGAGTGCAATATTCTTATAAAAGGGCAAGGCAGCTGACACGCTTCCCACTGTGCTCAGCAATTCGAGAAAGTCTGTTTCACAGTTGCCTCCCACGTTCCAGAACCAGCAGCTCTGTACCACTCCTTCATCTTTATTCCGTGTTGTATCTAAGTGGCACAATCCAGCCCTAAATATGCAATTAATCTGATCTAACATTTACAGCCTCCGCAGTGACACGTGTTTACAAGGAAGAGCATTTCCAGAGGAAGCGCGGAAGGAGGAGCGCAGCCCTTACCCGTTTATCAATCTCTCCGTGCTGCAGCTGAACAAAGCGAGCGCTGATAGCAGCAATGTAACTCTGTTGATTAGAGAATGCAACCCGCCCAGCTCCTTTGGGGTACTTCAGCTCGGGGTCCGTGTCGATCCCAGCATAGCACACCCCTCCGTACAGCCGGTCCATGATCATCGCCAGCTCCACTAAACCACAAAGGAAAAGCAAACGGCGCTGTAGAATTGGCAGGTTTTTTTCCAAAAGCATCAAATCGATCGGTCCGGTTGTGTTCACATCCCCCACTTAATATTCCCTTGCTGAAATACTCGTTTCCCCCACTGCTCCCCAAACGAGGCTGCACATCCAACATGCCCAGTGGAACACGCAGTGTGTACCTGCTCGTAAAGGCCGAGGAACACCACCAACAAAAATGGTTTTTCTTGGGTCAAGAGGCTGTGAACCATCCATAACAAAATCACTATCACTAAGGTTCCAAGGCCGGATCTGAACCTATGGACAAAAAGCCTTTTTTTTTAACCGTTCACAATTCAAAGTATCTCAGTAATATAAACTAAAACAGTGTCCTACAAAGAAGAAAACTTCTTAAACAGCCGTACTTTGTAAACTCAGTTTCTACTTGTTCAGCAATCATTTCTCAAAATGAAGTGGTAATAAGCTCTCTTAAGACAGACCATTTGGTTGTACTAAATTTCAACACTTCCTTGTTAGCCAAATTTCTGGGAAAAAAAGCTCACCCTCTACTTACACATTTACTTAATCATGACTGAACTGCTCTGTACAACTCCCCCCTGGTGCTCACAGATCTACCCTGCTCATATTGTCCCAGCCAAATGTGAGCACTAGACCAGCCTTATCTCAATGCAACAGGCTTCAGAGTTGCCTGTTTATTTACTATGCTGCTTTATATTTGTCTACAGCTGGCCAAATTTGAAGCACAGGAATACAGCAGAATTCCCTCCAAACTCTTAACAAGCTTGCATCAGCCCCCAAGCCATTTGTACTAATAATTTATACTTCAATGCCACGCTGTGCTTTTTAGGATTTGTCTCTGTCAAAACATGTTACCTACAACACTCAAAGACATTATGAATTCTACATTTTCATCAATAACAAGCATAAAATACCTGTCTGGAAACACATCTTTTTCTAGCAAAAATATGCACTGTAACTAGACTAAAAAATTTCATGTCTAGTTCAATAATAAGTAAGTTGGTCTCTTTTCTTTGAAAACTCAATTTGACATCTTAAAAATTTTAAACACTAACATTCTGAAGACAGAAAAGATGCATTTGAAGAGGCCAGTTTTTGGTTATCACCCAGGAATTGTGCAGGCCCTGACAATTCCACCTACCGGTTTGTCTTTGATAGTGGGGCTGGAAACACAGAGATAGAGCTTTCCATCTTCTTCAATACATGCATCAATCAGTGCCTGCACAGAGCTTTCATCTTGGAACAGCAAAAATGCATATCCTACCAAAGGGAAAACAGGCACATAACTGGTTTTGCCTATTTGCCTATAGGATAATAATTTAACCCAGAATTATGCTTGACACCATGTCATCACACTGTCACACAGCAAGGGACGAGCTTCAAGGTGCTCTCACAAATTTACAGCCCTCTGGTTGATCATATAAGAGACAAAATCTTTCCCAGCTTCTGTGGAAGCCATTTAGTCCCTTTAAAGAACTATTTAGGGTTAGGTTAAAAACGAAGAACAACAGGGGGAGAAAAACCAAAATGGAATAAAATAAAAACAGGAAGCTAAGGAAGAGTTCTTTTAGTGAATAATAATTGCAAAGCCACACTCTAAACTTCACCAGTTTATAACAATCCCAAGGACTAATTGTTTGGATTTTTTCCCCCTAAACATTGTGTCATTGTAAAAACAGCCTTGTCTAAAATGGAGTCTTATAAAGAAAAATTATTCTGAAATGCTCATATGCTGTTGGTTTTCAGTTATTTACCTTTAGGAGGAAAATAAGATTTGCTCTCTGCCTTGTGTGGCCAGTCTACAATCAAAGGTCCAAAGCGACGAAAGCTAGCAGTGATCTCATCTGTAACAGGAGAGAGGAAAAGGCATGAATTTAAATCAAAATAAATTGAATTTAAGACATCTGAAGAAAACTGATTTCAGGTAGCTTCATCCTATAAACAAACATTCTGTGACCCTCAAGGTTCAGCTGCTCAAAGCAATGATCAGTAGCTGATGAGGAACCTTTATAACAAGAGAACACCCGTTGTGAAACAAGACAGACCAAATATCAGGCTTTTCTTTCTATTTTTAATTACAAATAAAAGTTCATAACCCACTAATTTGCAGGAATGGAGTCCCTCCATCTATACAGTTATAACAATCCAGCTTCAGCTATTCTCCCACAGAGTTTAGAGGCAATTTGCTGACTCGCTAGTAAGCAATCAGCTCTGCCAATATAATTGTGGAGGACTAGAAACAAATAAAGGGCCTATCCCAAGACCCAGCCATACCTGTTCCCATCACATGCCAGTGCCATATGTGCACACACCATCTGAGCTTGGCCTCAAACTAAAGCAGAGTGAACCTGGAGGACAGTTATGGAATTTTATAGGTGAAATGGCAAAAACATGTTACTGGAGCAAGGAGCAATTCTTGTATCCATTTCAATTCTGCCCTTGACCTCAGATTCCTGGTAGAAATTTGCATATGCTAGTTCCACAGAAGCCTTCTACTTGGGATTTTGTTCTTGAATTTGAGTAATTATTCCCTTTTCCTTCTCCACAGACACAGCTGAACCAGCACCACTTAAAGCTCTCTGGACATAAATTTTTCATTCAAAAACTGAAACAAAAGGAATAAACTTCACATTGCTGGAGCATCACCTCAGCTGGCAACTGCTAAGCTCTACTCTGCTTCTGTACCATCTTTCTGTACCACCACTGTGGGGGTTCCTAATACACATTTTAGCAGATTTTCACCATCACATGCAGTTAGAAAGCTGAAAAGGCATTGCCAATTATGTCTTTTTCAGTTTGGTTACACAATTTGATGACATTGCTAATGAAATAGTGACTGACAAGGTTCTCTGTGCCCTTCAGATCCTCAGGAACACCTCCAGCAATGTTGTGTGTCAGGGTTACACACTAATGAAGATAGAAACCAAGAAGAACACTACTTGCACTACATATCTATTCTTAAAATTAATCTCAGTGAAGAGCAGCACTTAACCCAAATTTAATGTCAAAGCACATACATGAAATGCATTCTAGAAACAGGATCAGAAAAACCTTAAAAATTCAACTGTGGTGCAGATTTTAAACTGGATACTCCTTATTCTAATTCACACTCGTGCAGTTAACAGGATGAGCCCTGACAGAAGCAACTCGGAAATTCAAGTCACTCTCGTCATACAGGAAGATCCTGTTCTTCAATATTTGGGGTCCAGAGACCAAAATATTGACATACTCCTCTGCTTTTAAACTCACAAAGGTGACAAAGTTAAGAAACTAGCAAAACCCAAACAACAACAACAAAGAAAGAGAGACAACAAGGTCATTTTTCCTCTTGTAAACACCATGTTATATGTGACCTTTTAATAATAAAGTAGCTCTAATGTTTGACCTGAAATTCAGGTTGCCATGTCACAGCAGTGCACACTGCCACACATTATGAGCTCTCTGACATAATTAAACGATTCTGTGATTAAAAAAAAGCAACTTCTCAGATTTATTCCTGCATTTCTTTTAACCACTAACCCAGCACACTCAGACATACAGAACACAGAGCTCTGGTGAAACAAAGCTTTATGACGTGTGCATGACTTTTTTTATTTTTTTTTTATAACAACTGCAATGTTCTGCCACCTGTGTCTGTCTGATGGACCCACCACAAATTCCTGGTGCCTCACGGGATGCCCCTGCACAGATTCACTCCTGTCTGGGTTCTCACCACGCACATGTTTGAAGCTACTGCAGGACACAAGCACTGCTGGAAACAACCTCAACAGCTACACATGAGCAACCAAACAGAGAGTTAGGACTTACTGTCCTATATAAATTTTGTAGAACCCTGAGCAATACTTTTCTTACTACTGACTTCAGGGGCCTGTAAAATGATTGCAATAGATTTCTGAGTTTCAACAGGTGATATTTGCTTGTTTATTTTTGCACTTTTATACTTTTCATACTGCTGAAGTCAGGTAAATATGTGGTAACCTGACGCTACAGTCTAAACTGACCTGAATTATCTCACATTTGGCACAGACTGCAAGTGGTAAATGCAAAGATCCATTTCCGTATCAAAGAGTTTGGAAAACAATCATTCCTGAGCTAACAGACAAAAGGTTTCACACCCCAGTTTTGCCATTAAGGCAGAAGCAGCTTTTCTGGGTGAGATTTTCCGGGTGTACCTTCATCGATATCCGGTGGCAGTCCCCCGACAAAGACTTTACGGGAATATCGCTCCACGCGCTCTCCGTTCTGGTGGGAGAAGCAGTGAGGTGATCCCAAACCACTGTGCAGAGTCTGATCCCCACGTCCATCATCCAGGAAGCCGTCTTCCATTGGAAACAGTGAAGACTGACCTGAAGAGGGGGTTAAAAAAAAAAAACAGGAAAAAAAAAACCATACTAACAGAACAAAGCACACACTGTTTAAATAATTGGAAAAAACGCACCAGTTGCTGCATCAGCAGAACTGTGAGCAATCCGCCCTCTGAACGAGCAGTTATGTTCTCAATTTCAGATGACCCTTTTGGTTTTCAATAGCATTCAGCAGCTCAAATGCATTATTTCCTACCTCCTTCAGAACTGCGCTGCTGCTAAGACAGACTTGAAACAAACTGGTATTTCTAACAGATGCTCAAGTTGACCATTTTCTATATTTCATGTTTCCAATTAGATTTCTTTTAACAAGTGTAAAAAGAGAAGGGAATATAAGCAAGTCAAGCCATACATCGCAATTTCCAGTGAACAGCTTCTTACAGTGAGTCAATACCATTTCATGGTGCAAATGGGAAAACAAGAATCCTACCAGCTAAATACATCACACATTTAAATTAACTGATATCAAAGCATATCATAAACCACCCACTTGTAAATAACAGGAAAACAGGAAGACCCACTGTCATTTACTGCAAAGACTGAAAACTGCCCCCCCTACAAGTTTACTTTGATGTTATGACAGAGTTCTGTTAATGGAATCGTTCTAAGAGAAAATGTTGTGAGCTTCCCCTCACAGTCCAGCTTCCCTCTATGATAATCCTTTATCACGGATTTCCTAATAATATTTGTTACTTTCAAATAATATCCTTTTATTATAAATGCAATTGCATAACATCATAAATAGAGCACCTGCTGTTCTCTTCCATGAATTCCCTCTTTAGTTACAGTATTCAAGAGCTACACAACAAACTGAGTAGGTTTCTACTCATTTAAGGAGCATTTTAAGAATAAATATATATAGGGAAAGTAAGCAATGAGGTGTGCTACAAGCTTTAGGATACATTTCCTTTTGCCTATGATGGGATATACTATGTCTGCTTTTTCAGGATTCGTCACAGTCTACCACAGAAATGTACTGGTGAGGTTAATTTATCCTGCTCTTGCTTCCTTCCTTTGAAAGAAATTGATTTTAAAAAAGAAAACATCTTGAGAACAGAAAATTTGACCAATATCCAGACGTTTGCCATGCAAAAAAATCAAACAGCTAACAATGTGAAAGAAAAAAAATATAATAAAATCCACTGTCCATAGAATTTACATGAATAAAAAAATGGAAGGCTTGATCAGGCTGCTTTATTTACAATTTCAATAATATTTTATACACCTTTAATTAAAATAAAAGTCACGTATAATCAGGCCTATTTCTGTAGCTGGGCAAACCTGCTTCCTGCTCTGAGAAAAATACTGTAATATTGACTTAAACATTGCTTTTCCCTAATGAACTGCTGCACATGTCATTTGTTTCATGTCTTAAGATCTCAGTCCTGCAGGTATCGGTGGGAGGGAGCAACTCCCCAGACCTAACCAGCCTTTTCAGGTTCATCAGCTGCTGCTGGGTAACTCAACACTCACGTTTGCAGGATCTGGTTATTGAACCCAGCAGGACATACATTCACTATAGACTATGTTCCATCAGCACCCAAAATAAACTTCTCCAGCATTGGCATTCATAACATACACACAAACAGCAACACAGCCCCCCGGGGTAACAAATCATACAGGTGATGTCCACTGTGAGAACTGTGACCATTTCAGCCTCAAGTACTCCCTAATTCAGTTAAAATGTTGATTTATGGCATGCAGACTATGTAAACTTATGTGAAACTGCTCCTTTATCATCTTAAATTTTGGACTTTGCCCTCTAGTAACAACTTAAGGTTATTTCTCCCATGAGACATTGTCAACATTAGAAAATTAAATAGGAATATTGTTACCTCGCCTTCTCCCATATGTCCTTGCTGCATGTTAAATGAGAAAGAAAACAGCCTTTCAATCATTGTTATAAGGACCAAAAGACCTTGTTTTATCGCCTTTATACTGACTCAGTGATTCTCAAGCCTTTTCATATCCAGGTCATTTAAAATGGTGTTCACAAGCTGACCCCCCCACCCCCCACGACTTCCTCACACCATCTCTGTTACTTACTGATAAAACACATTGACAGGAGACTGACAAAGTGGATATGGATAATGAAAGAGACTTTTTGAAAACAATTTTAGTCCTCAATTTGCACATTAATTTTTATTTATTTCTTTATTTTAATCTGTGTCTAGGTGTGTGCCTATATAAGCAGATGGATCTTTTCTCATGCACCAAGTTCTCTGCCTTGCCAGGCTGCAGAATACTCTAACACTGATCTTCATCTGAGCTGGAGGAAAAGCCCCAACAGAAAGAAAGGGAAAGACTATTGGGTTACTTTCTGTTTTGAAATTAGGTTGATGTAAAAGCTTTGCACAACCCACAAAATTCTTGGTTAAGTTATTACTGGCAAATAACCAGCTGAAATACTGACAAGTCAAAGGAGAAAATGTCTGGGCCACTAAAATTGCCTTCCAGACCCTCTGCAGTCTGTGTACAACAGTATAGATTATCTCATATTAACTCAGTACACTTTACTGGAATAATTCAAGTTACCCACCGGTTCCTACTTTTCATGTTTCAGAACAAATCAATTCTACCACTAAAAACCACAACATTTTCTGTGCTGGCTTCCAGGACCCATTGTCAGAGCATGGCCAAACTTTCTAATCAAACTTGCACATTCTTTCTCTTTTAATCTCATTAAAATCTGTTTCTGAAAGCAGGCCAAGTGTTTTCAAAACTTGGATTCTCCTGGCAAGTACTGTGAGAAACTCTGAGCACATCATGTGTTTTATTTTGCTTCCCCATTCAAAACCAAGGCCGACAATTTAAGCATTTAAATATTTGTAAACCACAACAATACAGGAGTCGTTTCCTCTTTCAAAATAAAAACTGTATCAGTCCAATTTACTTCATGATTATTTAACATCTGTAAGATCATTTCACTCCTCTGATCTTTTGCAGGTAGAGGCACTTACAACACCAAGAACAGAAAATGATGAAGCCTCGGTTTTTGGACTGGAGCATATTCTTGAGGCACAGGTTTTAGGGGAGAATCTTAAAGGCTGAGAGCCTTTACAAGTATAATTTTTTCCATGGTAATTTTGAATTATACAAATCCAGGATGTTGATATAGTCCTCAAAGCAGAAATTTAAGGTTCTTTCACAGAAAGCAATCACAATCTTACTGCATCCCTGACAAAAGTCAGCAGCCTTTGCACGTTTTAGAGAACATCAAGCACTTTCAAAACCAGCTCTGCCTATAAAGCCAAAAAAATCCTGCTTGTGGTTTCTAAATTACTAACAAAACCACACAGCCTCCCTCACTCGGTACACCCACTCCTGGCAGCAGAGCACGGAGCACAGACCCAATTCCCACTGCAGATCTGTGACCACCATTCAGGTCAGAGGACTCCTCACACCTTCATCACCTGTGGCACTCAAGGCAAGAGGATTTTTCTGCTCTACCAGAATCAAAAACAACAAAAAAAAGGTTCAGCCACCAACTAGGACATATTTCCAGTGCCAAATACTACTGAAGAGGTTTTGAGAACCAAATACTAAGATTTTTTTTCTACCTAATTTGCTTCTTATTTTCTGCATTTGCTTCATCTAACCCGCAAAATATCAACATCTGACAGTTCAAAACATTTCTCAGGAGCCACAGTTTATAAACTATCCCAGTACAGCACAGATACAAACTTTCTCTGCTCACTGAATGCAGAGTTCATCACACGCCATTAATTTCACACAATGTGAAACTTTGTGAAATACAAACAGCATTGAAGTGAAGGAATGTTCTTTTGGCAAGCCAGGAAAGCAGCTGAGTTACCCTTTCTGTCCCTGGCTTTCATAATTTCATATTAAGAAAAATCTTTGCTACAGGAATACCCAGCTCAGCTGCTACACAAATGAAGCCTTAAAATGCTACCAACCACAGAAAAAGATTTAATTCAGGATACCACAACCCTTGACCATCCCCTAAAAGAGACAACTACAAAGTTGGTTTGGATTCCTCAGATCTGTTTTTCCCTTTCCCATTTCTTCAGTGTTTCAAATAATTGCATAAAGGGCCTAGGAGAGATTTACTTATCTCACAAGATGTTTCAGCAACAATTATGTTACAAAACCTAAAAAACACAAAGTGTTTGTGTAACTAATTCATCTGCTCATTAATAACAATTACTTTGTCCCCTCAGCCCTCCCTGCAACACTCCTTTCTATGTCAGAAATAAAGCCATGCAGAAAGTCAATGATCTTTTGCAAAAATCTGCTGCTTTTACTGTCTGTCATTTTAAGGAACATCATGAATAAGGAACCCACTCAAATTTTTGTGTCTTCTCCTCATTTGAGCCCATTTCCCTCTCTCCCTTGTACGACGGATTAGTGGGATGGGGGAGACCTCCAGGCCTTAGGATGCTGGCCCCATAACCTGCGAGGTGAGTGCCCTTCCCCTGCCCTGCACGTGGCCGGCGACCCCGCAAGGAGCACACACGGACCACCGGGGAGGGACGGACGAAAGAGGAAGTTTATTGTGGGGAAGGGGTTTATAAGGCTTTTAGGAGGGTCAAAGGGGGACCAATCCCAAGTTCAGGGTCACAGAAAAAACCAATCAGGTAAAGGGTCAACAGCCAACAGGAAGGGGTTAACAAGGACCAATGGGAAACACCTCAGGACACCTTCCCAGGATACTCCTGTATGGGAGACAAGTCCCTCACAGGGGGTGTCGGGAAGAAGAAGCAGTGACTTTACAGAAAATACAAAAAGCCATTTTGAAACATGTTTAAACCACATTAAAAACTTCTGTTTCTATAACATTTGAGCTGTTTTCTTCTTTTTCTTCACTAGCCCATCTCTGACAGGACTTCTTCCATCCTGCATATGGCAAATCCATTGCCACACCCTTGTTTTTTAAAAAAACGTATATTTTGTGTCTAACATACCTCCAATTAAATATGCTGAGCTTTCTTCCCTCTACAGGAAGCACTGAAAAGACTGTC